GGAATGCCCCTGCTAGATGCCCAAAACAGCTGAGCATTACAGCAGATCATTGCCTTCCCTATATAAATTGAAATGCCTTTTTGCTTAGCTCACTGTTCACTGCTAACTTCTCACATACTGTATTAGTTACGTTTTCAGTTGACAAATGTACGTTTTCTAAAGGATGTGGATTTTTATATACATGTTTAGTGCTCCGATTATATAAAAACATTTTATTATATATGAAAAATATCTGTTACACCAGATCGATGCTGTGTAGATATTTCATAATCTAATTTTAAATTTTGGCATAATTTTAAAACGGTAAATGTAAGATACACTCTTGAAGCATATATTTTGATTAACGCGATATTGTACATATTTTATATTTTATTTCTACGACGTTTTACGGGGTCAAAAGTTCTCAAAACTCTGTTTACCAGGGAGCATATTTTTAAATTTTTAAATCACACTTCTTCTTGCCTTCTTCTTTAAAATGAGGATAGCCAAAGAAATAAATTTTATGCCATAGACAGGTAAAGTTGTAGTTAAAAAGCTGTTGAATGGCTCATATTCTTTGATCATTAAATATTACGTAGGCCGAATAATAATTGGCATTTCCTTGAAACTTTTATGCCTCCTTTTTTACATCAGTCAACCTTGTTAAGTCAATAAAACCCGTTGATCAAGGAATGTTATATTGCCGTTAATGAAATCTTTATTTTTGCCCTATAGCCCCTGATATTTAGCAATCCATAAATCTCTTGAAAGTATGTCTTTTTATTTTTCAGGTGAGTGTTTTTTAGTTATATATTACGCACTTATTTTTTTTAATGTGACCTCTAAATTGACCTCTATTACCGCGTATAAGGCCTCTTTTGTTTTTCTTCCCTATGTCATAAACCGATGAGAAATAACAGACTTACAAAAACGACTCTTTATTTTCAGAGTTTGAGTTAGGTACTGGAGTCATGCAAGATATCTGCACAAATTGCTAAATATAAAATGCAAATGAAAATATAAAGATGAAGACTCTTACGGTAATGACAACAATGTAAACAAAAATAAAGAGGTGAACATTTTTAAGTTTCGGTTCACTTCTGACAACAATCAACGATTAAAGGTCCATTTTACCCCCAAAATACTTTTATCTTTATTTCTCAAAAATATTTTAATTTTAACGTCCTGTTATAGCTTCAAAAATGTTACTCATTGACCAATTATCGGAATCTCATCGTATGTTTCTTTTGTTCTTTGGCAATAAGTACAGTTTCAGCGATTTATTATTTTGTATTGAAGTCAAAGTACCGCTTTGTTTACATTTTGCTACTTTTATGACAAATAATTTCACATTTAACACTACTTTCTTCATGTGAAATTCTCTAAAATCATTATTTAAACATATAAAACTATTCTGTGGCACAATGAGCCTTTAGGAAGAAGTATAGGAGCTGCCACAGTACTGTATCTTTCCGTGCTTTAAAGATCCTAACATTCAACAATAACGCAGACAATTCCTCGACCTGCAGTCACTTTGAAATAACGTACACTAATAATAACAAGTTAAATGTTGATGCTGCACATCAAAGACGCCGCCAAATGATGTGGACAGTCAATCAGCATTGAAAATCATTCTCTATCATTAATCTAATCATTTTTTTCTCCATGTTCTTGGTATGTGCTCGTTCTTTGTTTCATAATAAAGTTCCATATTTTTGTGAAAAAGTAGAACCTAATGCATAAATTCACAAAATAATGCCAGGTCTGAAATTCTTAAATGTTTGTCTGTTGCGACAAAGACTGAAACGTCTGGTCGAATCAAAATAAATTGAATAACAAATAAAATTGAAATGATTGGTATTCTTAAAATAAATTCAATTCCGAGAATATACCCATTTAAATATTGGTACGAACTGCATAATGTTCGAATAATTTTGAGGACAAACTATTCTGCAGTGATCTCCCCTTACAGGCCGTAGCGGAACCGGTTTGTTGTACTTTTTTAACGGTTGAGTGAGAACCGCCTCTTTGATAATGGGCGTGGTTTAGGCTTTGTAACTTGTAATTTAATGATTCAACAAGTGATATTGATCAAAGTTGCCCTGGTTCCCTTCTACCCCGTCAACGAAGACTAAATGCTAGCATATGTAGCATAATATCAAATTTAATATGACAATTTAAGGCGGAGACGAACTTCAACAGAGGTGAAGCAAATAAAGTAAGCGACACTACCTCAGTTGTCACCTCTCTCAACGGTTAAGTTTTAGAACGATCGACTATAGACTGGCTCATTGGCACGTTATTTATTATGTAGATAAAATTAGATAATGATAAAAAGAATATGATATTCAAACATGGCACTATCACTTCAGTTAAACGTTTATTCTAATCCCTTAAAGCTCTGTGACATGTTGTACATCATAAAAGCTATTTTTATTAGAAAATTTAAAAACAGTGTGATTTTGTTAAAAAAATAATACACAAAATCAAGTCTAAAATTTTCCCCATTGCTGTATGGACAAATGCATATCTACTAGACGCCGCTTGCAAGCGGCGTCTAATAAAGTGACATTATGTCAATCCAAGGTATATAGTGCAGGTGAAAGTTAAAATTAGGCACTACTTTGCATAATTCTTTTCAATTTTATAATTTACTTCGCATGAACGATAACAAAACTCATGTAGCCAATAGAAATTTCTGTAAATATCCGGTATTTGGCTGTAATGCTCATTTTATAAAAAGAGTGGGGCAGACTTTTAATATTTTAAGCATATTTATATCTTATCCTAAACATTTTTAAGTGTCAATTGTTGTTCAATCATCATTAGAACAGTCAGTCTTTTGAAATATGTAGTCAATTCAGCGAGAAAACATGAGCATAATGTCACTAAAAGCAGCTACTATTCTTAATACAATTATGTGTGAGTTATAGTTTTGTTTTGTGTATTTTATAGTACATTGTAATTGTTAATTACGTATTGTATAGTGAGAATAGTAAGATGAGAATAAACGATCCAAATTAAGAAGAAACATTTTGCAAGCAGTAAAGAAACAAAAAAGTATTAAGTATTAATAATTTAAAAGTTTCTGTTTGATAAAACATTACTAATAACACAAAACGATATAATGTATATGTAATATCATCTAATAATTGCTATACAATGTAATTTATGTAATAAGTTACAAGTACATAACAAGGTACCCATGCACGTCATACATAATAATTAACATATATCATGATAAATGAAGATATTATACTATTAATAAACATGGTAAAGTAATGATGTAAACATATATTTACAAGTGAGTTGTCATGTAACTGACCGTATGTCCTTATCAACTACGAGGACAACAACATACATATGTCGTGTACTATACTATAACAGAATCGAACAGTCGTAAAATCAAATTCATTTACAGTTACTTATCATAAACATACAACTATAAAGGACATGTATAAAGAACACTGAAGAGAAAATAATACGTAGACGAAAGGCTTGAAATCTGACTGGCATTTTAAGTAAGACAGGTCTTCTTCAACTCGTTTTCTTCCACAGGAACTCGGGAACGGGACCGCAGATTGTGGCGCAAATTTTCGATGATGTGACGGTTTTTTTTAAAAATGTTTCTCCTACATCTAAATATTTTTTAGCATTGTCCGAGTGTATGGCCTCAAAGAATATATTATCAATTGAACACAATCTTTAAATTTTAAAATTTGTCAAATTTTACGATATTATATAAAAAAGACTTCTTCTTCTATATACCATGAATTTGACTGATTTTTAAACTAGCTGATTATTTTGATTGTTTTCCTTTTATTTTTTTATTATGATTATACTGTTTTACACTATCTTAACATTAATAAGAATAGGCATTAATGCTTGCCATACTGTTATTTAATCTTAGTGATATTGTCATAGGGTTACTTTGTTTTCTTTCAGTAATTGATAACAAGTCTGAAGTTTTTTTATTAAATCCAAAGGTAACATATTTGTAACGATATGACAAAACGTTTCAGAATAATGTAACATCGTTTCAAATTATTTAAAAAGGTCAGCCGGTTGATATTTGATTTTAATTTATTAATGAATTTATTTAAAATTTTATTTATTTGTCTATATTTTGGGGAATGCGGGTATTTCAGGCAAGAGTGGGAGGACCGACCCTTTCCGTAAGTTAGTTGGAAAGGCTCCCTACACAACAAAGTTCAAAGCCCCTCGCCGAATTCAAACCCAAAGCATCGAGCGATAAGTGTCTAGAAGTCAGCGACCTTAACCAATCGTCGGCGGAGTCCTCAAAAGCACGGATCACCAACCAAATGATCACGTGGTTTGATAATTTAGGTAATCGATTACCTTTTGTCAATTTTTAATTAGCAATTTAGATAATATGACATGTTTACTATTCAACTATTACTTTTTTAATTTTTTCAGTTATAATGAATATAATAAATTTTTAAGAGAAAGGGGGAATCGTTAATAATTAATTATAAAAATAAAATGGTTTTTAAAAATATTTACTAAATTACGATATTAGAAGAAAAATATTTTAAAAAATATTTTAACAATTACCCTTTTTAGGTATTTATTTTTGAAAAACCAAAAGAGAAGCATCTGTTTAACTGTAATACTTTTAGTAAAAAATTATCACCATCATCTTCAACTACGCTAGGCATCGGAGCAGTAATACCTAATCCACCTTACACTATTTATGTTACTTAAATGAGCATAACAATTATTTGCTTGGTTAATTGGAAATACCAAATTTCTACACAGATCAACCAATAACTTACGCTATCTAAGTAAAGACATGAGGAAATGCAACTCATATAATGATGGGGAAGATTCAAATGGCGATATCCATGAAAAGAAACAATTGGACAAAAAATCAATTCTTCCTCTATTACAATTGTGTTTGATGTCGAGGACGTTTGATAACCACCTACAACTATGCACATCAAAAATTGAACTATTAAAAACGTAATTTATCAACATAAAACATAACAACAATTGTTTACCTTTTGGGTGCAGGAAGTGTAAAATAACACCGGTAATTGCGGCTACAGCGGCAAGGAGAGCTATCGCCACTACAATCACCGCGACCGTGTTCCTCCGCCGCAGAGTAAGTGGCGATCGCGCCGGAATATTTGCTGTGTTGTAAAGTGTATCCACGTCACTAGTACTGGCCCCGTCACCGCCATGGTGTGGTGACGCCAGAGAGTCCACAAATCGATAGCTTGGGACGAGACTCGGAGGTGACTGAATGGGCGTCCGAAAGACCTTGACCCCAAATTCCGCCAGTGATGCCATGGAAACGTAATGCAGGCTGTGAAGGTAATATCAGAAATTTAGGCAACAGTGTGAAATCGAAGGAAAAGAAACAGTATAAAAAATAAATAAAATAAAATATAAATAAAATAAAAAAATAAATAAAATGATTCATACATATAACAAATAACTTTCCAAGATGAGTCAAATACTTTCAATCCAATTTTTAATTTCTCAAGTTAATTTCTTAGCTTGAGAATGTATTATTTACAGATAATATTGATAGTTTAACTGTCTTAAGTATTGGAAGAAATTTTGAAAGTTTTTAAACATGTTTTATAATTAAACCCACTTAATCAGGGTTATAAAAAGGTTATAGATGTTGTAAAAGTTAGTTTTCATCGTAATTTAAAGCAAAAAGGAAATAACTTTTTAAAAAATTCGCAATTTGTTATTAGTATAACAATTCTAAACAACTAACAAACTACAAAAAAATACAATTTCGCGTTTTTTTTTGAAAAATCAACAACAATTTTTCTTATTCGAGCAAAGTCTTTTAAATATTCGGTGGGCGTCGAAAAAAAAAACGGAAAATCTCCATTTGGTTTCTTTGATCAAAAAAATGGTATATTTAATCCGTATAAGTAAATTAGATCATATTTTTAGCCCTTTTAAAAGACTTTCAATAAAACATACCGCCAAATTTTTTTCGCAACATTTAAAAAAATTTAAGTTCCTTTTTATAGGGTCGGAAAAAGAATTTTTATGTCATTCTATTTTTATTTATAAATACATATCTAAAATTCTATCACCCCCACCCCCACGCTTTATCAGACACCTCATTAATACGCTTTGAAATGAGAGGAAGAGAACGGCATAACTATTTTGAAAATATTAAAATGATAACCTTTGAATAGAACAGAATCTTAAAAATTAAAGTCTCTTTTGCAATTGACACATATATTTCGCACTATTTCTTATCGATATGACCATTGGCTGTAATTTTGCATATAATTGCGCGCAGCGCGCATGAACTTGAGAGGTTCCTGACAGGTTTTTGTTATTCTAAAATAAGAAACACAAATTAAAATTAAAAACCTGATAAAAAAGGATACCAAAAAACGTGTCTTAATGTCACAAAATGTATCAGGCTCGGCACGAAAAAAAATGGAGGGCTTAATTGGCTCTTTCTTCTCAGCCTTGCATGATAAATTATATAATATCAGACACACACATGGTATTCTCTATGTATCAATATATAAATATCTCTAATGAATTCGTCATTTTTCGTATACGAAAACGAGTTGTGGTATTACTGCTATCCACTATTTATCACAGATAGTGACGAATAATGCCGAACTTTTCTTTGTCGGGATGATTTTATTCGTGTCACGCTCTTAAAATCACTATAAACTTACAGTCTCAAACAAAATGGAATTCATTTTCTACATCGAATGAATTACAAAAACGACGATTTTATATTAAATAAAATATTTTTGACCAATTTCAATATTGAAATTAAGTTGAATTTGACCTTGATGATGACTTTTCTTGTGTCAAATAAATCTTTAATAACGAATGATTTAGAGCGACTTACATCACGTTTAATTTGATTGTACAGAAAATTTACTTTGAGCTCTTTTAAAGTGTATGTAAACTGTTTTGAACTGTATAAATAAGATCCGCCTAAAATACAGGAACAGTTAACAGCCCACTCTAAAAGATGAGATTCGTTTGAAAAATAGGAAAATGTTTATATTATTGATTGATCTATCTAAACATATGTTTACTTATTGAAAGTATAGGAAACAGGTGACATTTTACCTTAAAATAATTTTCATATAGACTTACTTTGAATGAAGTCATAAGACGTTACGGGGTCAATGAATGTTATCCCTAAGGTACTACATGTATGTACAGATAGATGCTTACAAACTAAACGAAAATGTGCTCTTTAGTATGTCTAGATATAATTCGTACAGTAACAACAGTTTTCCTTAGAAAATTGTCATTGTCGGCACAGAAAAACTGACAATGCGTTGACGTATGCCCTTTATTGCAAATGTTCAACTTATTTTACACGTTTCACCTTGACAAATATAATTTTATTAATATCACTGCATTTCTTTTATTATTTTTATTCAATTTTTAGTTTCAAAAGAAATATTTTGTGCACAATAAAAGTCGCTAGAATGTCTGTTAGAATGACTTTAATTATACAGTAATTTGTAATCTATTTGGCAGCGTTTATAACTAGCGGTTCTCTCAACTGTTAAAACGAACAACGGATAGTTATACTTATAACATCATAAATGCCGTAAAATAGACAGATTTATGAACGTCGAAATATTCAAGACCAGCTCGTTTTTCTATCATACTGTTCAACTTTAGATTCTAATGAATTATTCATCAATTGTGTAAGAGCATTAAGAACAAACAGTGAGTTTTTGTCTTTTTGAAACGTTGTTTAGCGTAAAGATTTTATTACTTAAGATGCACAATTAAATTATATTAGTTGACATTAAATGGTTATCAGTTTTGTTTACTAAACATTTAATATGTCTCCGATACATTTTTTTGTTGTATTGAATATACAATTCGTTTTGTTCCCTTGTTTGTAGTTTGCTTTCAATAAAATTTCTAACTTCTATTGTCAAAGATTTGCATTTGCAAACCACAGACGTATTTTCAACATTTTGATAATGCTTTGTTTGAAAAACTGTCTTTTTGTGATTAACAGAAAATTATGTACATATATTCTGTTTATTCCAGTAAATGTTTAGGCTCTCCGAAAAGTTAGTTTTTCGTATATTTTAGACTTCTACTTCACTTCAGAGTTCTTATATTTTTCTGGTCCTTAGAAATCACTAATTGCTTTACATATAGTGTTGAAAATTGAGAAGCGCTCAAGACGGTGATTGGGGGCGTGAGGGATGTAGGACATTTTTCATTATCCATCGTCTACAGGCTCAATTAAATAGAGTCTGCAATTTTCATGTAACTTTGCTGTGATTAATGCTTCTAAGGGATTACTCTTTTTTCCAGATTTTTCTTATTTTGTATTATATTTTATTTTAAGCGGTACACATTAAAAAATTTGGAAAGCGAAATATTTGGATCACTCGGATCAAAAGTTAGCTTGGAACTGCAACGTTTTTTTCTTTTACGTGAATCAGCGGATACGGATTTATAATTGTCAGGAGAATGACTGCCTTGATGTTATTTAATCTAAGGAAAGATTTAGTAATAAATACTAGAAGCAATTTCCAAGATATGGGGGCTGGCCGGCACCGCCTGACGTATTGCAGTTCCAACATCGGAAATATATTCATTATTATTTTTGTACACCAATTGTTTGACCAGACTCAATCAAACCAAGTCTGCAACATTTTCGATTTTGGCGTTTTTTGGCGTTCTTTAGGGATTCCGTTTTTATCTATTTTACTTTCCAATGTCATGGAGACTTGAACAGTTAGATATATAATTATCAAGACTACCTTAAGGTATTTAAGAAACTTTGACTTTATTTAAAATCTAGATATGATAAGAAATATAGTCAATCAACTTGTCTCTAGAGATCATTTACAAGAAAGAATTTTCTATACGACACCGAATATCACTTATATACTAATTTCATCACAATCTCTTGTTCAATGACTCCCATTTTAATGATTGAAAGATGAGTGCGGTTTTTATAACAAATAAAAAAATATTCTTAATACCTTTTTATAAAAACATTTGCACCTTTCATGAAATAAATTAGTAAAAAACTAAGTGTAGCAATTTCAATTTAGTCATAATGATTTTGATAATATGAAACTGCATTCTCATTTTGTACATCATTTATGAAATTATTTTGACGGAAAGTCGCTCACTTGATTGTTTTCATGATATCTGAACTCGTTGCATAATAATTTATAATTATAAGAAAAAAAGTTTATACATCATACAAACATCATAAGGGGCGTAGCTTATAATAATAATAATAATAATAATAATAATAATAAACTCTTTATTTAACGAAGGTAACTTATTAAGACAATACATCAAAGCATTAGATACAACACATATAATGCAAAATCTTATTTTCAACAAGGCCTTCAATAAAACATAAACATAACAACGGACATATTAAAGCAATTGTAATGATTACAACATTCATAAATCTTAATCAACAAAGAAGACAGACATAATATATATATATTATAGTATAGGTAAATTTTCTATAATTCATCTCTAGATAATAATAAATGTTTGAAATGTGATTTAAAATAATTTAAGACTTGAAAAGATTCTTATTTTTAAAGGAATAGTGTTCCCATAACTCCATACTAGAATAATAAAAAGTACGTTTTCAAATAATTTGTTTTAGGTCGTTATGCATAATATCTTTTTTTATGTGTTGATCTTAGTAAGTAAGTTTTATTTTGAGATAAACGGAATTAGATTAGAAAATATGCTGGCGTTAATTCATTCATCGCTTTTATATACCATAATTCCAGAAAAAGTATTTACATCTAGATTGGAAAAGATAACCATTTTCATATTTTTGAAACATATCAAGAGACGATTTTTTTTACGGGTTTTATTTAAAATAATTTCTAGCGGTTCTTTTTGTAGTTTTGTTATTCTATTTAGATCTGATTTGTTACATGGGACAAATAATACATCCATAATCAAAAAGTAGGGCAATGTAAGCGTTATAAAATAATTGTTTCATTTCAGGTGTAAGAAATATTTGAATTCTTTTCAGCAGAGATATTTTAGAAAGCAAGCTTAGAACATGTTTTGTCAATATGTGTTTTCCAAGATAGACAGTTTAAATATGCAATCCAAGTAGCTTTTGACAAAGAACATTATTTATACTCGAATTCTCAATATGCAGAGAAAGATTGCCTATGTTATTTATTTTTACATTTTGATCCAATTATGCATGCACGTGGTCTTTTTCTGGATTTATGGCCATATTATTGAGAGTGCACCATTCGCTGTATTTTTAGTAAGTCTAGTTGCAACTCAGACTGTATATTACTCAAACTTTGGTCAGCTATGTGTAAT